CGGGCCCGGGGGCACCGCGGGGTGATCGAGGGGGAAAAGGGCTTCGTGTGGCTGGCCATCTGCAGCCAGAACCAGCCGCCTTACGAGGCCATCCCACAACAGATCAACAACACCATTGTGGACCTGCGGCTCAACGAGAATCGCATCCGCAGCGTTCAGTATGCCTCCCTGAGCCGCTTCGGCAACCTCACGTACCTCAATCTCACCAAGAATGAGATCGGCTACATCGAGGACGGTGCCTTCTCGGGCCAGTTCAACCTGCAGGTGCTGCAGCTGGGCTACAACAGGCTGCGCAACCTCACGGAGGGCATGCTGCGTGGTCTGGGCAAGCTGGAGTACCTGTACCTGCAGGCCAACCTCATCGAGGTGGTCATGGCCAGCGCCTTCTGGGAGTGCCCCAACATCATCAACATCGACCTATCCATGAACCGCATCCAGCAGCTCAACAGCGGCACCTTCGTCGGCCTGGCCAAGCTGTCCGTGTGCGAGCTGTACAGCAACCCCTTCTACTGCTCCTGCGAGCTCCTGGGCTTCCTGCGCTGGCTGGCGGCCTTCACCAACGCCACGCAGACCTACGACCGCATGCAGTGTGAGTCTCCGCCCATCTACTCCGGTTACTTCCTCCTGGGCCAGGGCCGTCATGGCCACCGCAGCATCCTCAGCAAACTGCAGTCTGTCTGCACTGAGGACTCTTACACAGCCGAAGTGGCCGTTCCCCGCCTGGTGCCTGGACGTTCGCAACCAGGCCGCTCGCCACCGCCACCACCACCACCGGAGCCCAGCGACATGCCCTGCGTGGATGACGAGTGCTTCTCGGGGGACGGTACCACGCCGCTGGTAGCCCTGCCCACACTGGCCACGCAGGCTGAGGCCCGTCCCCTCATTAAAGTCAAGCAGCTGACACAGAACTCGGCCACCATCACGGTCCAGCTGCCCAGCCCGTTTAACCGCATGTACACTCTGGAGCATTTCAACAACAGCAAGTCCTCCACCGTGTCCAGGCTGACCAAAGCCCAGGAAGAGATCCGCCTCACCAACCTGTACACACTCACCAACTATACCTACTGTGTGGTGTCCACCAGCTCCGGGCTGCACCACAACCACACATGCCTCACCATCGGCCTGCCCAAGCCACCCAGCCCACCTGGCCCAGTGCCCAGCCCCTCCACGGCCACCCACTACATCATGACCATCCTGGGCTGCCTCTTTGGCATGGTGCTGGTGCTCGGCGCCGTCTACTACTGCCTGCGGAAGCGGCGGCGCCAGGAAGAGAAGCACAAGAAGGCCGCTGCAGCAGCCGCAGCCGGCAGCCTGAAGAAGACCATCATTGAGCTCAAGTACGGGCCCGAGATGGAGGCGCCTGGCCTGGCCCCACTGTCCCAGGGCCCACTGCTGGGCCCTGAGGCTGTGACTCGCATCCCGTACCTGCCTGCGGCCACCAGCGAGATAGAACAGTACAAGCTGGTGGAGAGCAGCGAGACACCCAAGCCCAGCAAAGGCAACTACATCGAGGTGCGCACGGGGGAGCAGCCGGAGCGCAGAGACTGTGAGCTGGGCCGGCCGGGCCCCGACAGCCAGAGCTCAGTGGCCGAAATCTCCACCATAGCCAAGGAGGTGGACAAGGTCAACCAGATCATCAACAACTGCATTGATGCGCTCAAGTCTGAGTCCACCTCCTTCCAGGGCGTCAAGTCCGGGGCCATGTCCACGGCGGAGCCGCAGCTGGTGCTGCAGTCTGAGCCGCTGGCCGGCAAGCACAGCTTCCTGTCACCTGTGTACAAGGACACCTTCAGCCACGGCCTGCAGCGGCACCACAGCGTGGAGGCTGCAACCGGGCCCCCACGGGCCAGCACCTCATCCAGCGGCTCTGCACGCAGCCCCCGTGCCTTCCGTGCCGAGGCCACCGGTGTGCACAAGGCTGCGGCCGAGGCCAAGTACATCGAGAAGAGTGCGCCTGCGACCGACGCCATCCTCACTGTGACGCCCGCAGCTGCTGTGCTGCGGGCCGAGGCCGAGAAGAGCCGCCAGTATGGCGAGCACCGGCACTCATACCCTGGCTCCCACCCAGTGGAGCCACCCGCGCCACCCGCGCCCCCGCCACCCCATGAGGGCCTGGGCGGCCGCAAGGCATCCATCCTGGAGCCCCTGACCCGGCCGCGGCCCCGCGACCTCGCCTACTCGCAGCTGTCCCCGCAGTATCACAACCTGAGCTACTCCTCTAGCCCCGAGTACACCTGCAGGGCCTCCCAGAGCATCTGGGAGCGCTTCAGACTGAGCCGGCGGCGGCACAAGGACGACGAGGAGTTCATGGCGGCCGGCCATGCCCTGCGCAAAAAGGTTCAGTTCGCCAAAGACGAGGATCTCCATGACATCCTGGACTACTGGAAGGGTGTGTCGGCCCAGCACAAGTCCTGAGCCCTCGTGCCAGGTGCCCGGTGCCCTCGCCCAGCCCCTGAGCCCCTCCCCGAAACTCGTGATGCCCACTGGACCAAAAAGGATACAAGATCCACTGCAGCTATCTGTAACCCAGAGACTCTCACCGCAAAACCCACACACACGCACAACACACCACAGCAATGGTTAAAGCCTGGGGTCCCTGCAGAGGCCACGGGGGGCTGGTGACAGCAACAGCAAGCCAGTGTTTTGATGTTCATGTCAGCTGCCCCAAGATGCGGTCACTGACCAGTGCAAGCAGTGTGTCCACACACACACACACACACACATACACACATTCACACGCACACAGACACACATACACAAGGGACTTCAGAAAACTGTGTCTTAGGGATGGGGGTGGGGGTGGGGAATTTGTTTTTTCATTATCTTTCCTCTTTTGATTCTTCTCTGCCTTTTTTCTTTCCCTCTCTCTCTTTCTTTCCTTTCTTTTTTTAAAAAAATAATAAAAAGTCAAGTTCTTTTAAAAAGACATAAAACACCAATCGTGGGGGGCGTGGCCAGCATGGCCACTGCGGCTCCTCGCATGACCTCCCCAGTCCGTGGTTTTCTGTAGAGTCTCTGTTCAGTCTGTCTCTTTGTTGCCACCTGCAGAGGCCACCAAAGAGGGACAGAGAGAATGCAGGCGGCCGTGTGGCCTCCAGGACACATCCTGGAGCCCTGCGAGACTCAGGGGAGTAGTGGCTGTGCCTATGGATGGGTCAGGGTGGCCGGAGGGTGGGGGTCACAGGCTGGGGAATGTGTCCCCTAGCCCTGTCCCCGTTGTACACTGTAGTCGTTCTATTGTACAGAAAAAAATATTTCTATATTTGCAATGTTTGCTGTAAAATGAGAAAGAAAAAAAAGACTATGTCTACTAAAAAAAAATCTGCAAAGGAAAAAAACCCAAATACTTGTTTGTACTGGGTTTTTACTATGGGCTTCAGGGAAGGATTTGTAGGGTTAAGGGGGTGGATTATGGCTTTTGGCCTTGGGATGGGGTCACCATAGAATTCTCTTCCCAAGAGGGTGGGAGTGACCACGGAGCTGCATGTGGGAGCCCGTGGGGAGGTGGCAGCCAACATGGGTAGGAGGGTGTCCAGCACTTTGAGAGGGAGGGCCAGTGTGGACAGGGCAAGAGTGAGCCGAGAGAATGCAGGGGTGGTGGGAAGGGGCTGAACTGGCTGAGGCCTTGGGTGTGTGAGCGGGGTCCGAGGTGACTGAGGTTGCTGTGGTGTCACGTGTCTGACTGCATGTTACTGGGTGTGTGTGCACAGAACCAGGCAGTGGCGTGGGGGGGAGTGGGCCTGAGCACCCGGAGGCTTATCTGTCAGGACACTGGGCAAGCTAGCGACAGTGTTGGTTTGCACGTGAATGGATAGGAGCCCGACACAGCTGCGTAGTGTCTGCATCGAAGTGGCTCCTTGAAATGGCCAGGGCCTCTAGAGATGCTAGAGCCCAGAGCCAGCCCTCTCAGTCCACCGGTCAGAGTCTGCAGATTCCTTTACAGGGCATGCGGCCCAGCCTCTGCCTCCAGGCAGCCTACCCTGGTGTGGCCCCAAATTTTGAGTGACTCAGTGACTGGACTCCATGCATGAATGGCATTAGATGGTTCCATGTCTCCAGAGGAGGTGGGAGGAAGTCCCCCTCCATGCCTAACTCCAGTGCCTTCTACTGCCAAGACCACAGGCTACCCCAGCCCGTCCTCGGCATCCGTACTGAGACTTTGAGGAAGAGGCCCCACTCCCACCTGCCAGGGAGTGGGGCCTTGTAGTCCATTTGTAGTGGGTCCCCCTCTCTCCCAGCCCTGGGCCACTCAGAGTGGCAGAACCCTGGGACTATCTCTGTCACACAGCCTGGGACTGCCTCTCCTGCTGGTGCTGGGGCAGCCAAGTGCCGGATCTTGCAACCACCATTCTCCACCTGGCTGGGTGACCCCTCCCCTCTTCTTTCTAAAGGCCCTGGTTCCTGGGCCTCCAGTCCCTTCATCCAGGGCAAACTCATTCCCAGTCTGATCTTCTAAAAGACCCAGAAAGACATGAGCCTGGAACTGGATCCCAGAGGTAGTGGGTGCCCTGGGAAACTCTAGAGCAGGAGCCAGAGGCATAGAGGCAGATTTTCAGGATCTCAGGGTCACCTAGAAAGGACTCAGAGCTCCAGCTGACCCAGCAGTGGGCCAAGGAGGGAGGAAGCAATGGAGTAGAAGTGGGGGGCTGGAGCAGCACTGACATCAGCAGTCCAGCTCTGGCTCTGGGCTCCGCAGGGTGCAGAGAGCTGAAGACAGGGCTTGTCTGTCGTCCTCCAGGCTGGCTGGCCCAGTCCTGCCATCTTTACTCAGGTGACCCCACTGTGGGGGGCAAGGGCGAGGCCTCCTCAAGGGTGTACTTCCCTGGTGGGCCCAGTGGGCACCTGTGACTGAGCCCCTCCAAAGCAAGTCATTGCTGAGGATGCCGTGTGCCCTCTTCCTCCCTCTTTGGCCCGACAGGCCTCAGGTTAGGCTGGGGACTTCTACCTCTGCAGTCCCACCCCCGGCTCTGGGCCACCTCTAACCCTCCAGGAAGTTTCAGGAGGGCAGTGAAGAGTAGCTGAGGACATGTGAGCAGGTTGAAGACAAAGAGGCAGTGGCGTCCAGGGCTGGCTGGCAGAGGCCCAGAAAAGGGCCTTTCTTGCCCAAGGTCACACAATTTAACAGTCCTGGTCATGGGATAGACGGGGTGGCCAGGCCTTCTCAACCTGCAGTTCCATTTCACCAAGGAGATGAAATGAGCTATTTATAGGGGTTGGGAGAAGGACTGACACAGAATAGAAGTGCCTGCCCTGGGTAGGGCAACTGGCCAGACAGGCCAGGTGTGTGAAAAGGACAGGTGACTGCAGAGTGTGGGTACCAAGCAGGGTGGAGTCAAGGGCCTAGATGGGGACAAGGGAAAAGTAGCAAGTGGCAGGAGGGGAGGTATGAGGCCTTCAGCAGCCAGAACGCCCAGCCCACAGCTCAGATCCTCCTAGGAGCACCCGAGGCTGGCAGAAGAGGCTCTAACACTGAGTGCCAGCTTGTCCTGTGGACCGAAGGCTGTATGCCACCATGCCCTTGCTTGAAGGAGATCAGGAAAAGCACAGAACACACACACTTATCAAGTATCTGCTGTCTGCAGAGCTCTGTGCTGAGCACTGAACGGGCACAGGGCAGCATCTAAGCCAGCCCCTCCCACGAGGACTTCAGAGGCTGCAGGGCACTCAGTGTGGAGGGAGGCGACCAGCTCAGGGCAGCACAGGGCATGGAAACGCTTGCGTTTGGGAAGGCTTCCTGGAAGGAGTAGTGTTTGATTAGGGGAGACCACTGCTGAGGAAGGAGGACTGGAGGTGACAACATCGAGAAAGGCTAGAGACATGGTGGGCCCTGAGCTGAACTCAGAGTGCAGGATAAAGCCTGCAGAGAGGGCCCTGCCCTGCAGCTGGAGTCACTTCTGGCAGCAGCCCTGAGGGTAGCGCTTGCTTGTCCATGGGGTGGGGGGGGGGTCTGGAAGCCAAAAGCATGGCTCTGCTAGTTATGGCTGGGGGGACCCCCCGGCCACCGGAAAAGTCCAAGCCCC